TCCCTTTTGTGTTGGGCCCTCTTAGTAAATCTCCTGCCTACTTTACATAACACTGCTCGGTTCTGCCAAGCTCGGAGAAGTATTTGACTGGCAGTAGATCAGGGCTGTGCTTTGTGATAACATTGTTCCTTTGGGAACAGATGATGGTAGGAGGAGGGTGGGAGAATAGGAAATTGGAGTAGAATAGAAATTACTGGGGTCTCTTCAAGATCAGCAGGCATAAACCAGAATAAATGGATGTTGCAAACTCGGTGTTTTTCCTTCATAATTTATACAGCTATGGTTTGTTAGCACTAAGTGTGCCCTTGGTATCTATACAGCGCTTAGCAGGTAAGATAATCTTGGTGGGATGTGTCAAGGACTAGCTAGACTGACGTATCGGAAGTCTGAGCTCTTTTTCTAGCTTTGACATCCATTACACCAAGCTATGGTGAGGAAAACTCTTCCAGTCGGTGCCTCGGTTTCCCTTGTGCCTCCTGACATCTCTCCTACATGCTACCACAAAAACCGTCTTACTCTCCCCTGCTTACCTACCAAACTCATGGTCTCTTATGTTGCACTGGGCAAGTGTGGTTGCTATGGTGGATGTGAGGCCTGGATCCTGACCTAACAGTCCACTTGAGATGCAGGTATTCAACTGTAATGCCCTACAGTTGCCTGGAAAGGGAGCTGTCCCAGGTCAGGCCCTCTTTCCAGGTGCTAGGAAAACAGACTTCACTCCTCTATCAGAGGAATATGCCCTTATTTATTTATTTATTTATATTTTTGGGGGGAGGAAGATCTATTCCATTGGTGCCATGGGGCAGAGGTACTGGGGTAGCAGGCGGAGCACAAGTGAGCAGTCACCATGGGGTGAGCTAGTGCGGTGGGAGCAGCAGGGCCAGAGGGTGCCAGCTCTGGCAGAGCAGTGTCATGCTCACGCTCCTCTTGCCAGGAGCGTGATACCAGCAGATTGGAGCAAACTTGTTCCAACTAGCACCAGACCAGCCGCTCCAGGATCGGAGGTGCTTGGAAAATGACTCTGGCCTCGATAAAGGAGGCAAGGACTCGGGTTACAGTTCCTGGGTGGATCGTGTCTCCTGTCGGGCCGATGTGTGCGGCCTGGTAAGGCCCGCCTAGGGGAGGGCCCAAGGAGGGACGGGCTCTTCAGGGCTCTTGCAAACTTGCCTTTCAGCAGCAGTGTTTCAGAGCTGTCCGTGACACGCTCTGGGGCTGTAACTCTTGTCTTAAACTTTCCTCTAAAGCCCTTGGCTCTCTTGCTTGGAAAGCACCTTTGTCCTCCAGAAATGAGGATCTCCTTGCTGAATAGCTGCCCTGGTTTCCTGTGGTGGGGAGACCAATGCTAAATGTCAGGTTTGGATGCAGTGGTTGTGCTTTCAGGTAAGACTGCTATTCTTTAGAGTAAAACCTTTTACTGTTTATGGTTTAAACAAAAAGAAAAAAAAAAAAAGAAAAGGGAGCAGGAGCTTGAATGTCTGGCCATGTAAATTCATGTGCAGTGGGCAGTGGTTAAACAAGCTGGATTAGAGTCCTTATGAGCTGAATTAGCCTCTAGAGAGCCATTGTTCTGTTTTGATCAGCACTGATTGTGGTTATTAGTGGGAGACTAAATCGAGCCATTCATCCCTGTTCATTTCCACACTACATTGGCTGTCGGTCTGCTTACAAGTATTAAACATCTTCCCAGACCTCAGGCAGCTGAGTAGCATTTTCCACTTTTGCAAGCAAGAGGAAATAGAAAAAACAAGGCCACTTGCATCTTTACTTTCCATGTAGAAGGAGTCTGAACTTACTGTGAACCTATGCAGTAATTAACTGAGTAAGAAGGAAGATAGCCTGTGTATAGGGATAACAGCTCCGGCAAGGAGAAGAGATGCATGCTGCACTCATTTTGTGTGCTCGCACAAAGCAGTGGTTCCTATCCGGTACTGCTCTGCAGGCAGTGTTCGATTTCAAAGAGGAGACTTGAGCAGAGTTTGGAGTACTGTGGTTAGAGAGGAGCATGGATTTCTGTGTCCCTCAGGAAAAGGGGCCACTGAATTGTTGCTGTATGTAACTGGTATCTTATTTTGCCAAGTAAACAACCCTGCTAAAGAAAAATCTTGTGAGATCTCGTTGAAGACTGTGAGCCCTTGAAAGGGAGGTGCTCAAACACTGAACAATAGATTCATCCAGCTCCTTTGTGCATCATGGCACCAGCCTGCCTTTCTATCTGCTTGCTGCTGTGGGTAGAGTGTTTATTTTCTCCAGCCTGTCTGTTAAATTTTGATATGTGACACTGTCTGCCCTTGATGCAGAGCTCCAAGGTCAGTTTTCTAATTGCAGAGTAGCACTGAAATGGCACACAAGCTCCCAGGACCAGTCACAGGCTTCTACCTGTCAGTACCTCCTGGACCCCACCCAGCTTAGTCTTGCGGAGGTTTACTTTGAAACCTCCACACATTTGGCAGGGATTTGCTAACTCTCAAACTTTTTCCTCCTCTCAAACTGGGTGTTGTCTAAAGTAGCATTGAAGACGCTGTCATTGGGATTAATGCTGGGGGACTGTTTCTCTAGATTTGAGTATTATATATGCAGAACACTGCTCCTTAGAGGGTTTATAAAGCTCATGAATCCCCACCCCCAATAAATGTACCATTGAACCAATACTTGTATAGTGTTTTGAACAAATGTTCACAATTTGCAAATAAGCATGCGGTTCTACGTAGGAAGTTTATGGGGCCTATCATAGCTGCTGGATCCTTAATTTTCACAAAAAAATAAGTTTGCCCTCCATAATTTTAGATATTAAATGTAGTTCTTATCCAGGTTTAGTTTGTTGTGATGTTGGCTTAAAAATGGCTGAGACTAGAAAGCCAGATCCATCAACAAGTTATTTCATCTTGATATTTCAATACTTATTTAAAAAAAAAAAAAAAGCATGGTATAAGCTATCTTTGTGCTACCTTGTGCCCTTGTGCACAGACGAGTGCCTGTTCCCTGATGATCTTCATTGTATCAGATAACTCTTTCTATAAACTGGGGGTGAGGGGAAGGAAGACACTTAATGCCACTCCACAGCAAAAACATGAACAAGGGCTAAATGGCATTTGAAACCTGCTTCCTGTTTATACAGCTGGATAATGCATGGGGTGCTCTGTACCCAGATGGCACCTTAGTCTCTCCTCCTCCAGCCTTCCCTCCCCTGCTGCCCTACTTTCCTCCCTAGGCATCCATGTGTGTAATCTTAAAAAGGTGAAGTGATTCATCTCACTTCATCATCAATTTCCTTCTTGATTTGGAGTTTAAACTTTCAAAAGTTGTTAGAGGAAGCCGTTTGGTAATACGAATGGTATAGTCTTGGCTGTCATATCTCTATATGAATGGAGATCTGACCATTGCCACCTCAGAAATGCCCTATGCTGGTGATCATCTACCTGCCTGTGATTATTAGTGGTTGTGTTCCTCCTACTCCTAAACTTCCCTTCCTTCCTTTTTCCATCACTTTTTGTTGTTCAACTCTAGTCATCTGCCAACTTGCCCCCACTAAGTCTGCAGAACCTATTTGGTTGCTTTTATCCCCTGAGCTGCGCTTGGACCATGTTGCTCTCCTAAGCAGTTCTATAGCTTGGGATCTATAGACATCCTATTACCTATTGAGGGCTCGAAGGAGAGGAAGGGTGGATGTGTCATTACAGTACTAGTTTATGACTGCCCACAAAGCAGGTTGATTATTCTATCTCCTTTTTCTTTTTTCTACTAGTATTTGTAAGAATAATAGTATTTCCCTAATCTGCAGCAGGGATGGGTTTTTAGAGTAAATTAGTTCATGGCTGTATAGCTTTCTCATCTCATGGTAAAGACAGCCATATGCTAAAGCAGGCTGATAAAGAACCCACTAAGCAGCTGAGATCAAAAGTTCAGCTGCAGGTATGATATGCTTTGCAGGCCCAGCCATCTTGTTTGCACAAGCAGGCATGTGTGCAGGCAGAGGTGGGTGCGGTGCAGGTGATAATAAGCAGGCCTGCCTGTGATGACCTCACCTGCTTGTTACTAACACCCATGTTGCTGTTGCACCAAGAGTTGCTGCTCAAGTGTCCAGGAAAACTGAGCAGCTGCTGTCTAGCGAATGGGAGGAAGGCACAACTAATTAAGATTTCTGAGCAATAGTCTGAGTTTTGCGTTCAACAGCAATTAAAGTGAATTACAAGTCAGAAAGCTTGTCATTTCTTCCTGTCTGAAGAGGATGGTACTCTTGCTGCATGGCCTCAGTTATGCTTTCTCTAAAATGAGAATGACAGTTGAGCTCATGAAAGGACATGGAGAACCAATGACTTAATGTGCAGAACACACTGGAGTAAGGAAAAAATGTGTCATATTACAGCACCTCACAGTGTTGCGAGGAGGGAGGCTCAGAACTGAGTTTGCCTTTTCTAGCAGGGATTGCAGCCAGCCCTGACTTGAGGTTTCCAAGCTCTTGGTTAGGAAAGGAACATGAATTTCTGGTATGTTGCAGGGTGTAATAATCAGGGTTCTTCTCATCCCTCTAGTTTATTCATGGTGCTGTTTTTTTTATGGTTATACAAGATTAGTCTGCTCAATAAACTCGATTATTTTTTTCATGACTCATGTGGCAGGGGAAACTCCTGCAGCCAGCCAGGTGGCAGGGAGTTCTTTGATTGCAGAACACAGTCACCAGCTCTAAGAAAGCAAATGCTGTGTACCTGCTGAGTGTCCTGAAGCTGTAATTGGGCCCACTGTCCCCTTGCAGTTCCATTTCTTGGGCTGCAGAAGGAGACATTGTAATTGTGTGCAGTTGCAACTCCACACATATATTTGCATTTAAAACAGATTAGGAGGTTGAAAGGAGATAGACATGAAGTGATTTAGGTTTGAGCAAAAATTGTTTGAGTTCTTTGGGGGAGTTTTTTTGGCAGGGAGGACTGGGAAACAAAAGGGCAGAAAAGGGGGTAGCTCTGGAGTAGTAGTTGCATATATGCAAGTTCTTTATCCACAGAAGAAAGAGGGAAATCCAGCCCCAGAAAAGAAGAGGCATGCCGTGATGAACTGATTCTTCCTTCTACAGAATCCTGATCACTTTGTTTTGCTTGGTATGGTAGGGTAACTTCACAAAATGTATTTCTGGACAAGTAACACAAGTATCAATTATCATGTTTAGGTTCTGACTGTGAATCTGTAAGCTAAAGCATCCTCTAACTTACTATTACTTCATGTTTGGTCCTCCACAGGACAGGAAGCTAGATTATCAGAGAGGTATATGAGCTTTGAAAATTAAGACTTAACATTCTGATAGAGACAGATAGCTCATCTGTTCTTGTTTCCAGCAGTGCCTAGTGCTTCAAAGAAATGTGAGGAGCCCTTTTTGATACTAATGCATCTTTTCCTATCAAGCTTTTCCACTGAGTTCAATGAGTCCTGAACTGCAGCTTTGCAATGCCTTCCAGACCTGGAAGGGAAGGAGGGAGTTGCTTTCTGCCCAAGTGATTTACCAGCTGATACACTGAAGCATGGGGGGGCAGACCCCTGCCCTGTTGTGTAGCCTGGGATTGCTGCAGATGTTAGAGACTATCCAGCTTTTCCAGAGATCCGGTATGGCAGTATGTGCTGACTTCTTCCTACTGTTTACTATTGTGGGCTAAGGAGTGTTTTCCAGCCCAGCTCTAGGTAATGTCTGCCTCTTGGTCCTGACTTCGAGAAGTACTTGTCTATTTTGGTAGGATCAGCAAGCGCTGCAAGTAGAGCAGTGTTAAGAAGTGGTTGTGAGTTGCATTAGACTTTAAGATAAAATTACCCCAAGCAATGTAAGATGTGCTCACTGAACCAGGAGCAGCAGTCCTGGGGACTGCAACAGCTGCAAAGACTCATAGTCTTCATCAGAGTGGTACTTAGTGATTGACTATCTGATAAAACTTCTCTGCTACTGCTTTGTTTTTACATTCCTGAAGTAGGACAGCTGGGACAACAGTAATAGTTATGTCTATCACCCACACAAAACTAGTTGGACTGGGGCAGGGATAATCTCTTATCAGATTGGGACAAACCTCCTATTCCTCCAGAGCATTCAGGGTTTCACTGCATCCTCAGTACAACTTTGAGGACGGAGGAGGAGTCTGCCTATGAGATGTATAGTTCTGCCACAAGCACAGAAATGTTTTTTTGTGGTTCCTGATGATGTTTCTGTATGCTTCAAGCTCTAGCCCCTCCCTGGGTTGTAATAGCTGAGTTTGTGTGTATATGGACACAACAAGCTAAAGAGACTCTGTTCCTTCTTTAGGACAGCAGCAATGAAGCACTGTTTCTACAATGAGACTGTGGGGTTCTTCTACAACAACAGCCGCAAAGAGCTGACCACATACTGGAGGACAAAGGATGTCTTGGTGGTTGCCCTGGGCTTGACAGTGAGTGTCATTGTGCTCCTGACCAACCTGCTGGTCATCACTGCTATTGTCATCAACCGGCGGTTCCACTATCCCATCTACTACCTGCTGGGGAACTTGGCAGCTGCTGACCTCTTTGCTGGCATTGCATACATGTTTCTCATGTTCCACACGGGGCCCAGGACAGCAGAGCTCTCCCTGAAGACCTGGTTCATCCGCCAGAGCCTACTGGACACCAGCCTGACCGCCTCTGTGGTGAACCTGCTGGCAATTGCTGTAGAAAGGCATCAGACTGTTTTTACCATGCAGTTACATAGCAAAATGTCCAACCAGCGTGTGATGATCCTGATCTTCTGTATTTGGGTCACAGCCCTGCTACTGGGGCTCATCCCATCCTATGGCTGGCACTGCCTCTGTGCCCTGGAGAAGTGTTCCAGCATGGCACCACTCTACAGCAGAAGCTACCTGACCTTCTGGGCCATCTCCAACTTGGTCATCTTCCTGATCATGGTGGTTGTGTACACACACATTTTCATCTATGTCAAAAGGAAGATGACACGGATGTCCAAGCACACCAGCTTCCACCCCCGCTACAAGGAGACCATGATCAGCCTTGTCAAGACAGTCACTATTATACTCAGTAAGTCCACTTGCTTTGGTTAATCTACTTGCTTTGGTTAATCTAAGTGATGGCTCGTGCAGGGCTGGAGCGGTGAAGGTGCTCTGGACAGCCGGGATGATTGGGGAGTGACTTTCTGCTTTGCTGGCGTCTGAAGCTACTGGGGTGTGGTTTGGTTCGGCTGTTGGGTAACTGAACAGTTTCAGGACTGCTCTAGCCCATGGGTGGAAGCAGTAGCTCCTAATGGAAGTGTCTTGTGGAATACTGGCTGCCAGCACTTCCCTGGATTCTTTCCTAATGCCTCCATCCTACCCATGGTGTCATCTACAGTGACACAGGGGTTATGAAGGTGACCAGTTGTGCTGCAGGGGACACTTCCAGTCTAGACAAACACTTAGCTAGTCAGGCTGCTCGCTTCTGAGTCTTTGCACTATGGGGGATCCTTTTTCTCAGGAAGAGCAAGAGATGTTCTGGATCAGCGTTGCAAGTGGGTACTGTAGGACATACGCAGCAGCTCCAGGGTTGTAAGTTGCTTGCTGGGATAAGAAAGTGGTTATCTATCTGTTTCTACTGTAGATTTGTTAGTATTGGAAACTGTTAGTGCACTGCTAGTCCATCCTAGTACTTTCTTGTCATCGGGGAAATTATCATTGCATGGTCTTCTCTTCACCACTTGTCAGGTCTTATTTCTTAAAGGAAGCTGAGCTAAAAACGTTGTTGACTTAACTATCTTGAATTTGGTGTGATCTGTAACTGGAGCAACTGTGCAGTTAGAGGGGAGTGCAAGCCCCTGAATCTCTATTCCTCTGATATGGCTGTGCTCAGGAGCTGCTCCTCTGGTAAGCAGAGACAAGAGGGACTGTTACTACTTTGATTTCTTAATGTCTCTTGCTACCGAAGTGCAGATGCTTTGGACAAACAAGAGGCTCTTTTATGTGTTCTACTCTTACATGGAGGAGGCATGCTAAAGGTTTGTGTGGAATTAGGCACTATAATCAGACATTATAAAGAAGCAGCACTTGGTACATTCTTTAAAGGATAGAAAGCATGATGCGCAGAGGGCAGAGATTACAAGGTGACAGGAAAAGAATATGGGAGTTGTGTCCAAATTCCATAGACTGTTTACTGGAATAGAGCACTAAACTTAGTACAGGGTCTCATTCTGCTCTGGTCGACGTCACTGAAAGCTCTAAACTCTTAGTCAAAGCAACTCTCCGTGAACACTGGATCTCCAGTAGAGTGCTAACTGCCTGTGAGTTACTCTTGTCTACATTAGCAGTTCATAGTGCAATAGGAGTAGATCAGTAACTGGAAGTGGTTTGAGGTTCTGTCTTCCCGGGATGTTTAGCTTTGTTCAGATATATGTTGTTCTGCCCAGTGCTGTGCATCTTAGTAAACCAGCTAAGCTACTGATATAAATTGGTAAAGCTGCTTTGAAACAAACAGTTCTGCTCCATGTATCTGAGGAGTCTGGCCCCATTTTTTGTCCTTATTTTATAGGCTCTTTGTGTAGAGGCTTCTGCTCTTTAACCCACAAGCAGCAGCATGTCAGTGTAAAGAGCTTGCGGGTGTCTCTGAAAGACACCATATGTCTGTGAAATAGTAGCAATCTCATAACAACAGAGGCTGCCATGCTCCTGCATTGTGCTTTCAGCAGCATATCATTCATGATTTTTCTTAACTGCTTTTGTCTCATGCTTAATATATAAAGTTTTTGGTGAAAGAAATCAGTGTGTTCAGATCTTCTGCAACCCAACTCGACTCCGGGCTTATGGTCACAACCCTTTGCTTGCAAATCTTTTCTGATAAGTGCAGAATTTGCTCCGTCAGGGAAACCTCGTAGCTGCAAACAAAGACTGCTACTCCCTTGCAAACTCCCGCTGGCAGAGCTGGGCTCGGCGGGGGAGGGGAGAGGCGGGGGGCGCAGGGGAAAAGAGGGCCGGGGCCCCCCGCTGAGGGGGCACATGAGCTTGCTTGCGTGTCTTATTGCAACTTGTGAAGAGTGAAACCGGGATATTTTGCCCGTTCCTATCTGTGTGATGTCCTCTTCCCTTCCTTACAATTGCTCCATCTCTCTTGTGGTCGGCAGGGAGTTCAATAGCTGCTGTGGAGCTGATCAGATGCAAAAAAACAGCAGAGCTCTAAGAATTAGTACTTCATTTTTTTGTACAGTCAAGAGCAAAGGAAAGCTTGTTTTGTTTCCCCTTCCTTCCTGAACAGTATTGGAGGGTCACCCAGTGGGGTCAGCAGGACTGCTTAATTAATTTTATGGGACCTCGCAATATCAACCGGGAGGAGAGGGTCAGCAGGACGGGAATACTGGCCAGGAAGAAAAATAAAATGCATCTCCTTGTTCTGGGACATCTGTTTCTTCTCCATGCCTGTGCTCCTGACTTGGCCTGTCTTTGTCTTCTGCCTTGAGCTAGGAAAAGGGTCCGGTCAGAGGAGGATCAGAACAGCTGCTGTGGTTTTTACAGGGAATCTAGGACTGGTGGCTGTGGATGGACAGAGCAGGCAGGTACCTGATGTGGAAAGTGGTGAAGGACAATGAGGGGTGGTGATCAGGCCCTTGAGATTCTTGTAATGTAATCCAAGCATTTTTCTTCCTCAATGGGGCAGTGTCAGAAGTGGTAGTGAATTGTGTACAAATCATTTTGCAGGAGGAAATGCAGGCAGAGGGAGCAAGCGAGAAGGTTTAATTGCTCAACTTGGGAAAATACCTTTCAGTTCAGACTTGGAGTACAGACGATTGTGACTGCAGAGTTTTTTTTCCTCCCTATGAAAGCCCTGGTATAATTATTCCTCCACCCTAGATCCCTGGCCTTCTGCAAAGTTGGATTCTGCACAGAGAAATACTTTGAACCTTATGCATCAGAGGGTGTAGCTGCTGGTGAGCGTATGAGGAAGCAGAGGGAGCAGTAGAAGTTGTGTATGTGTGTCACTTCATTGGAAGGCAAGGTACCTGCAGCTTATCATCCTGTAGGTCATGAGCATTAAGAATAGGTACAGAAGCCTACCTGAAAACCATTAATAAGAAGTCCAAGGTACATCTAGAAACCAACAGCAAATTTTCCCACAGACTAGTTGTGCAGGACAGGATCTAATGATGAGCAAATAGCACAGCTGAGTCACTACTGACCACACTGGGCATAGATTATTCAGAATTTGGATTTCTTTCTGACTACTGTATTTCCCATTAGGAGCAAAGAAAACAGCTCCCAACTTTGATATATCGCCAGCTTCACCTACTGCTGCTGGGAGCCAGTCTCTGTACAGAATCTGGTTTTCATGGTGGATGCTGAAAACCTGTCTCTAAGCATTACATCACTAAGCAAGGAGGTCCCTTTTCTGCAGGCCCATTCAAATTACAAGAACAAGTATCAGGATCTCCCTTTATGACAGCCAGAAGTCCATATTTTTGCTAAATTTAAAAGGGGAGAAGGCAAAGTCATGTCTGCAAGTGCAGAGAAAGCTGCCTGGCCCAGATGCAGTGGCTGCTGTGCGGACCCTCTGGGGGTGTGGTAAAAAGGATTACATGATACAGTTGCCTGTAATCAGTGCGGAACATACCTGGAAATTTAGGAGATCCTTTCTGTGTGTTTCTTTGACTTTTCACCAGTACAGCACTTAATGTAACGAGAGCCTTAAATTCAGCCTCTCATTTTGGTGCAACTCTTCTGGCTGTTTTTCTTTCCTGTCAGCTGTTTTTCAGTAAAGGGGCAAAGTTCCTAGTGAGTCTGTTCTTTTTCCACCCTTTCCCAGGAGGCACAGCAGGGTGCAGCTCCCTTGCTTTAAGATAGAACTTTATGCATGAGTTTCAGGAGCGCTGATGGGTGAGTGCTCCATTTACGTCAGCCTTGAAGTTAAAATCGTGACCGTAAAAAGCAGGGTTTTAGGAACTGCAGGCACCTCCCACTCCATCATGCAAATTAGCAATTATCCTTTTGCTAAAGAGCTTTGCAGGTGGTGGCAAGAACGAAGTATTAGCCTGACTGAATCAGTCATGGAGCCTGTCCAGCTCAGTCTTCCTGTTGGCCAGCCCATTGTTTGGTTGCTTTCTGCCCGGCATGCAGTGGTATGAAATAGACTTAATTGAACTGCCCTAAATGTTGGCTAGGCTTCTTCTGAACTTATACTATTAACTGAGAGCCCCATAAACTGTGTGAACTGGAGAGATGTTTCCCTTCCAAATGTACTACTTTATGACCCAAAGTTAAGAGTCATTCCCCTTTTTGGAGGGAGTAGCATATGAGTAGGAAATATAGATGCTTTATCTTTCACTTTGTAAATGGAATAATGGGGACAAAGGGAGGTAAGCGAAGCAACTTGAAACTTTTGTTGTTGCTTTTTCTCTGAGAGTAGTTTAGACCAAAGAATCAGTGCCTCCATTTTCAATATTTTCTGGCTGAATCCTCTGTCTTCCTCCCAAGCATGAAGCAAAAATTTAGAGGGAAACAAATTTTTTTTTTTTCCAGTTTCCAAATGGTGTTTCAATTTCCATTGGTGTTTCCAAACAGCAGCAATTCCCTTGAGCATTGCCAAGGTGAGTGGCCATGCAGGGCCAAGAACCTGCTTTTTCTCTAACAAGGGTTCTTCTCTTCCCAGGTGCCTTTGTTATCTGCTGGACTCCAGGACAAGTTGTGCTCCTACTGGATGGCTTGGGCTGCAAGAGCTGCAATGTTCTAGCTGTGGAGAAATACGTCCTTTTGCTGGCAGAGATCAATTCGTTGATAAATGCTATTGTCTACTCTTACAGGGACAATGAGATGCGCAGCACCTTCCGGAGGATCCTCTGCTTCATCTGTTATAGGAATTCCAAATACACCCCTACAGTAGTGAAGTTAAACACTACAGACCGCAGAACGCTTTCGCAAAATGGGCACTTTACTGTGGACTCCTCTATTTAGTTCCTCGGTGCCATGCTTGTCTCCACTGGTCAACAGCAATCCTTTTCTGACCAGAAGAGCAGAGACTGAGTGACCTGCTTCCAAAGCAGTACTGACTTCTTTTATGTTCTCAAGCATAAATATTTGTATAAAATACTTGTCATCCATTTGGGGACAAGAAGCTTTTAAGGAACTGAATGGTGCGTTATTTAGGACAAACATACTTTGAGTAGTGTTCTTATTAAAGACTGCTATTTTTAATGCAAAATTGATTTAATTTAGCAGCATCTAGAAGTATGCTACATGCAACAAGAATCTCGTGTGACTTTCCTCTCCGTGAGCAAGGTATTTTCTTGGTACTTCAGTATTACTGCCTTCAGAAATAGTCATGTGGTAGCATATTCCAGAGTCAAAGCCCAAAGCTCTTAAGCTCTACTCATTGCTTCCTAGACAGAGCTGCTTTCTGTTTCCCAAGGGAGTCTTGTTCAGGCTGTGTTCTACGACTTTAAGAAGTCACCTTCTTCTAAAGGCCTCTTAGGAGGGGGAAATCTGTGAATTACTTCCTGAGAAGCAGGTTGTTGCCTTCCGAAGCGTCTGTTACTGAATTTCAAAGTATTTTGGGCTTCTGTAAGATGTATGAGGAGCACTTTCCTAAAATGTTGAGTGGTGCCTCAACTAACTGCAGTTGTTTGTTCTGCTAAGTGATACTAGGTGGTATTCATAAATTGATTGCCTATTCATAAATGTTGGAGTCATAGTCCCATGAAAACATCTTTCTACTCTCTGAAAGCCCTTTGGGACAGGTTTACAGTAGATTCCAAGGCAAATGGTATTTTGCCTTAGATATTAATGTGCAGTTCGTACCTTAACACTCAACTGTCCAAATAACGTGTTAACAGTCTATTCAAATGTAATCTTTCTCTCGGCAAAGCATCATAAGAAATTAGCAGTATTTTTAACATTAGTGTATGTAGGACGTAGTTCTCTGAGTAAATCCACTTACTGCACCTGCCATACAGTGTAAACTGTTGCTCTTGCTTTTGAGATCATGACTGGAGAACAGATGCTTTGCTGGCAAGAGAATATTCATAACTTGACCAAGAAACTGTAAATATTTTTCCAGGTTCCTTTTACCCTAGTGCTTTGTTAAGAATGTGAAAGTACCTGCATCAGTCCAGTCTTTTACCACAGGCTCCAGTGGGAGCAGAGAGGCCAACAGGAAGCAGTTCTTTAAAATTCTAAATTTAAAGGCTTCAGTATAAAATTTTCGGTGTTTAAAAAAAACAAAAAACCAAAAGCCTGGTTCAGGGAGCTGATCATCTGACAGAAAGATCACCTCAGCTGACTTTGCAGAAAGGACACATGGTTTACCTGAGGGATTGTTGGGTCAATGTGGACTTCTATTCATATATGTCTGCAGACTATTTCTTGCAGAATGTGGTCAGGAAGTGACTATGTTAAGGTGACGGTACCCTGGACTGACTAAAACAGTTCTGGAATATGGTCCATGTTTTGTTGTCCCAGAGATTTTTTCATTCTTCTCTTCCCCCACCAAATCTCCCTACTGTCAAGGCCTGGCTTTGGGGAAGTACCACTTCCCAGTCTTGTGTTGTGATGCTGGAAGGGAGAGATACTGGCCTTGTTGCTTGTGCCCATTGTGACTTGCTGTGGAGAGGCCTGCTGTGCTGCTGATCTACCCTCTGTGTAGGTTGTCCGTGATGCCATATCACAGGCCAGCAGGAATGTGCGTGCATATCTGGGGGGGTGTTAGCCTCTGGGAAGAGGTAGTGAAGAGAGGCAAAAGAGAAACTGGAGGCGGTAATTCTTTCAATCAGCTATTTGCAGCCAGAGGAGGGTATATCACCATAGCCTTGGTCAGCTGTTTTCAAACAATAGACCCAGCTGGTTTTGGAAAATTTCTCACCATTAAAACATATAAGGTGGTAGAGCTAAGAGAACAGTTAACGTTTTCTTTTATTGCCAAAGATTCCTAAATATAAATATTTTACAGTGAAAATGAATACTCGGGTATCAGGTAATGTGTACACGCTGCAGCTGAAGCAGGGGGTACTGTCTGCTGTAACAGGGGGAAGACTATTGTGGACACCTGGAAAATCATTACTGTGTGGAGTGGTGAAGCTGGCACAGAACAAACCTAGACCTTTTCTTACTGTCTTCATGAACATCCGCAAAGCGTGAAATGCCTAAGTCATACTTTATGCAAAGTTTATTTTACAAGTGAATACATGCCAAGTTTTGTCTCACTTATTAACAAAGGGAAGGAGGGGGATGTGACAGTTCATACTCTCTGGGTGTGGGATCAGTACCAGCATGATTTAAGGATGGTGGTGGGGAGATCTGACTATGCTGCATTTGGTTGTGAATGAATACTTGTAGTGGGTGAGATGACACACGGCTCGCAAAAGAACTCCAATTGGCTTTTATGCCCAATTGGGCCTTTAATAAGCTGTACACATTCTTCCCAGAGGGCTCTGGTAACTAGCCTGACCTCACTGGTCTGCTGGGTTGCAGCTGTTGAGCTGTGTTACAACAATATCATCCTACCCTTGCAAGTGTTTTTATGTAGGTACCCTCAACATAAGCAGGCTTTAAGTCACTAAAAACCAGCTTCTGGTGTTTTATGATCACCATGTACAGGTGATCTTTGAGGGGTTTGGGGGTATTTTAAATGGTTTATTTAAATTTATCCTGGTTATCAAACTAGTGTGAATACTAAATAACTCTTGTAATGCAACTTTGCTGGAAAGCTTATCAATGATTTGACCAGTTTGTACCAAGCAGACACTTTCCTGGGAATGTCCTGACTTCCCAGAGGATGTCCATACTTCCTATATAAAAATGGAGTCTGTAACTGAATGTGCAAATGCAGCTTGTAGTCTAGCCAACTTCAAAATGCATGTTTTTGCAAGTGAAAATAGCAACTGATGAGAGTAAGGAAAAGAAAAATCCCAAACCTTTAGTGGAGCTGCCTCCAAGTGATAGCTGCCACCCATGAGGAATGCAGAGAGGTTGCCTGGAATTCTTAAACACGATTTCTCTTCCTGAGTGACTGTGACCCTTAGAATGCTAGCTGCTTCCAGCTGGCTGTAATAGATGAGAGCGCAGGAAATGAGGAGGCATAGAAACTAGCCTGAGAAATGCTGTTTTCAGTGAGATTTGAAGAGATGGTGAATCAATGAAGCAGAAGAGATAGGAGGAGGATTTTAACAAGCCTCCCAATGATGAAAATGGGGGAAGGGAGAGGGAGAGGCATAAATGGTTATATAGAATATGCATCACAAAATGACATGACTTTAAGTTGTTCAGTATTCCACATGACACCTTTCCAAAAAACCCTAAAAAGTAAACACAAATCCTTATCTAACTATATGGAAGGAGAAATCATGTTGCAGTATGCTTTCCACTCACTTTTTGGTGTACTAAGCAAGACACTTTGCAGAAAAGGGTGTGGTATTATCAGATTACATGTTAGCTTTCCAAAACAACTTAGAAGACCTTAAATATAACTTTATCATTGCATAAAGAGTTGGATGCTGTCAAGTTTATGGAATTTCTGGTCTTTTTTTGTTGTTTTAATCATGATGTACAACCTGTAATGCAGCTTAGCTTAGTGTGGAAGACGCAATGTGGCCATATCCCTCTTTCTGTTCAGTTTGAGAAGGAAAAAAACTCTTTTAATCACAGTATGACACTGCCTTTGAAGGTTCACTGCTGGTTTCATCAACCTTCTTTTAATGTGCAAATTTCTCTGCAGATTGAAATTATTATTTTAATAGCGGAGAGGCATATGATTGTTCTAGATTTGCTGTGTGTTGGGTGGGAGGAGGGGAGAGACACCTAGGAACTATTTTTAAGGGATCAAACATGGGACAAGTGAGAACACACAACTTGATCAAAGATAGGCTGCATGGTTCCAGGAATGAGAGGTCATGCCTTGCTGACTGGTTGAAATTCCTTAAGCAAGCTGCTGCCAAAAGTAATATGGGTTTTGGTGTGTTTTTGGGGAGGGTAACACTTTAGAGATTAATACTGTAGGGACTGATGGGCTTTAAAAGCTTGTTTTATTGAGAGAAGAAAAACCGCTGGAAGGAAGGAGACAGAATAAGGGGAAAAAGTGAAATTAGTAGAGGGAAGTTGATGGTAGGGTTTTTGTTTTTAAATTTCATCATTATTCTAACCTTCTGAGACATGGAAAATGGAAACTGAAGTGGCTGATACTGTAAGCGGAGCCAATGTAAAAGATGATTTCTTTGGAGGCAGTTGTGCTCTTGTGGGTCTCAAGCAATATTGGAATATCAGGACTAAGAGTTTATTTTTAATGTGCAAGGATGACTGGCATGACACCTGGGGCCTCTGGTCTGCATGATTATGATAGTTTAGTAGGCTGCTCATCCATTTGAATTGGGCTTCCCCCAGTTTGAAGCCAGAAAGAGTCTAGAAGCTTACGGTATGAGTAATTCTTCATGGCTTGGGACACATGTTAATGCAGTGGTGAAGTGAAGCCTGGTGGTTCCCCCTGTCCTGCAGTGGATGGCATGTGTAGCTGAGCTAATTTAGGAAAGAAAGGTCACACTGATGGTACGATACGTACTTCCTATGGTATTTTTGTGAAAAGCTTTTCTGCAAAAACGTTGTACTAGTAGCAGAGAGCATTTGGGTTTGAGTCGGTCATTTCATGGTCTGCTCTTCTTCAAAATATGTGAATATGACTTCTGTGCTGTGAGCAGAAGCGAGAACCCAAGTGTCATTTCATGTGAAAACTGTTGTAGCTCTGAGTGCAGCTTCAAACTAAGTTTCTAGAAGATGCTTCTTCCTCTTGAACTGTTTGGTCTTGACCAGCTTTTGTCCTTATGCTGTGAGTGTCACAGGAGAAAATCTTAATTACACTGTGACAGTCAGAGATAGGTCTCCAAGTTGGAGCACTTTCACGCTAGCTTGAGATCTTTGCTAAATTGAGAATTAGTCTCAGGGTTAATTACCACATTCGGCTCCAGTCATTGACTGGACTCAGTGTTCAATGTTTTGTGTGTTCAGCAGCTCTGAAAACTAGGCTGCTTTATTGAGTCCATGGCTGTTTTGCAATCATTAGAGTTAGTAATCATATGTGAATGCTGTATCACAGGTTTTTAGCCAGTTATTTTCATCCTTCTTGGCATAAGCTGATTTCCTTCAGCTATTGGGATGTTGAAGGGAAATGCATTGTTTCCAGGTGATCCTATTAAAAAAAAAAAAAAAAAAAAAAAAAGCTGCAGAATGTCTGGGCCTTTCTGGACTGTTGATGTTAGTACAGTTTTTTGGTCTTAATACCACTTCCTTCTGAACATGAGTGTCTCTTGCATCATCCTCAGAGTGTTCATCAGGGCCAGGCAGCTGGTTCTTCTGCAGATGTTGCCAGACACTGATTCCAAAACTAAATGTTCCCTTTGTGAATACCGTAACCAGTATTGCTTGCCCCACCCAGGTGGGGAATGACATAGCAAGAGGACCGATAATTTTAGGGTGAACAGAACAAGATTAAACAAGATTACAGCAGGCACCAGGGAGAAGTGGTAAGGAGGAGCTCCAATTTGCCTGCATTCCCCAGCAGGGAAAATAACTGTCCTTTAGTAATGCCCACTTGCTGATAAATTTCAGCTGACAGTCTCCTCAGAGAAACTTGTACTGGTGACAGAGAGCATTTGCCTGACTTCTGTTTGGCTTGTGCCACAAAAGGAGCATACGGTTGTGTCCCATGGCCCCCCAGTCTTACTCTACAGGGTTTTTCTTCCTCACTGAAAGCAAGGAATACAAATTTGGGGGGTGGGGGGAGAGAAACGTGCCTATGGCTCCTCAGAAAGATTTGCCTCATATTATGCTAGGATGTTCCTGTAAATGTCTCTAATACTGTGAAGTGTCCCAGTCACACCCTTGATGTCCTGAGCACTATGTGGAAAGAAAGTCCAAAGGTAGCAGGAGAATATATTTCTCCTAAGTTTCATAGATCATGTGGTCATCTGGATTTAAGTGCCAACAACCAGGGTGTGAGGGGCTTGCATGTTGAATTTTGTCCTGCTCTCGTCACTGTCACAAAATGGTTTTTCAGTGCTACCCAACTCCCATTTTGAGCGCTTACCACCCACTTTTGACCTAGTATGAAAAACATAGCAAGGCAGAGCTGTGGGATCTGGAGATGCCAATAGCTGACTGAGTTCTGTGCTATATGGTGGCATAGAAAGATGCGCTTTTGGCACAGCTGCTCTTCTATTCTCCTTGCTTTCTCCAAAGCTTGGG